GCGGGCCCTTGAGCACACAGAGCCCCGCCCCCTCCCGGGTCCGCCCAGCTGCGCGCGGTGGGGAGTGGGGGGCGCGAGTCCCCTCTTGGCGCTGACACCTGCACGCAAGGGGCCTGAAGACCCTCGGATCCGCTCCAAGCCCTTGCGGTGCGTCCCTCGACCCAGAAGCTGGGGAGTGGGGTTAGGTCTCCACCCACCCGCGTCCCCTCCTGCCCAGGACTCTCACCGCACCCCCACCTTCTGTGTGTTAGGGTCCGTGCACGGGGGCCTGGAGAAGGATAGGGAATGTGTAAGCCGGAGCATTTAAAAGCAGCTTTATTGTGGTGTGGTTGATTTACAAGAAACCACACATCTAAATTTGGTAAGTTTTGACATTTGTGTACATTCGTGAAACCATCACCATAATCCACGCAGTACACACTCCAGTCCCACCCTTGGTACTCCCTCCCCTCCTTACCCCCGTCCCAGGCAAGCGCTGATCTGTCTGTCGCTGCGGATTAAGTGGGCATTTCTTATCCTTTATGTACATGGAATCGCAGGGATGTGCCTTTTCGGTCTAGTTTCTTTCCCTCGGCAGGAGCATGTGTTTATCAAGTTGTTCCTTTTAGGGCTGGCTAGTCATTCATCCTAGGAATGTTCCAGTTTACCTATCTGTTTGTCTGTTCCTGGACATTTGGGTTGTTTCCATTCGTTGCCTGTTACAAATAAAGTGATACAAACATTGTGTCCTACCGTTGTTTGGACAAATACTCATTTCTCTTGGGTAAATATCTAGGAGTGGGATGGCTGGGTCACAGGTAGGTGTAAGTTTAATGTGAAAGAAACTGACGGGATGATTGTACAAGTTTACATTCCTGCCCATAGTGTGTGCTCCCACCCTGGCCAGCACTTGGCATGTCAGCCTTCTTAATTTCAGACACTCTACTAGGTGTGTACTGGAATCTCATTGTGGCGTGAATTTGTACTTCCCCGGTGACTAATGATGGTGAGCATCTTTCATCGTGTTTTTGTTTGTTTGTTTGTTTTTTGGGGTTGTTTTTTTTTTTTACCATGTATCTTCTTTAGGGAAGTGCTCTGTTCAGATCTTTTACCCACCTCTAAATGAGTTGTTTTCTTATTTTGAGTTTTGAGAATTCGTTATATATTCTGGATACAAGTCTTTTATCAGATATGTGATTTGTAAATATTTTCTGTGAGCCTGTGGCTTGTCTTTTCATTCTCTTAAGAGCTTTTCAAAGAGAAGGTTTTAATTTTGATGAAGTCCAATTTATCAATTTTTCTTCTATGGATGGTGCTTTTGGTGTCATATGTAAGAAATCTTTGCCTAACTCAATGTCACATGGGTTCTTATAGTGTAAGTTTTGTCTTTGGTTTTAATATCCAACTTGAATTAATTTTGATACATGGTGTGAAATTTGAGACCAAGTTTATTTTTTTGTGTGTGCATATTCAGTGTTCCAGGATTGTTTGTTGAAAAATTTCTCTACTGAATTACTTTTGTACTTTTGTTGAAAATCAGTGATCCATATCTGTGTGAGTCTATTTCTGTACACTCTGTGTTCATTTGGTCTATCTGCCTATTTTATGCAGATGTTCCAAGCTGTCTTCATAGCTGGATCTTTATAATAATTCTTGAAATCAGGAAATATAAATTTTCCAACTTTGTTCTTTCATAAAGTGTTTTTGGTCATCCAAGATATATTTCCTCATTTTCCCAACTTCTACAAAAAAAAGCCTAGTAGTATTTTGTTTGGGATTACATTGACTTTATAGATCAGTTTGAGAGAATTAACATCTTGACAACATTAAGTCTCCAATCCATGAACATGGTATATCCTTTCATTTATTCAGAGCTTATTTTATTTCTTTCATCTGGGTTTTATAGTTTCTGGTTACAGACCTTGCACATCTTTTGTCAGATTTATCTCTGATGTTTTATTGTTAATGGCATTTTTGTTTCAATTTCTGGTTTTTAATTACTAATATGTAGAAACAAAATTGATTTTTGTATTCTGATCTTAACTTTGCTAAACTCATTTATTAGTTCTAGGAACTTTTAAATAAACACTTCAGGATTTTCTACATATGCAATCATCTTCTCTGTAAATAAAAAGATTATGCGTGCCGAAACCGGTTTGGCTCAGTGGATAGAGCGTCGGCCTGCGGACTGAGGGGTCCCGGGTTCGATTCCGGTCAGGGGCATGTGCCTGGGTTGCGGGCACATCCCCAGTGGGAGATGTGCAGGAGGCAGCTGATCGATGTTCCTCTCTCATCGGTGTTTCTAGCTCTCTATCCCTCTCCCTTCCTCTCTGAAAAAATCAATAAAATATATTTTTTAAAAAGATTATGCGTTCTTTCTCTCCAGTTTGGATGTATTTTAAATTCCTTTTCATGCCCAATTGCACTGGCTTGAGACTCTAGTTTAATACTGACCAGAAGTAAGAGATCTCCTTGTTCCTGATATCAGGGAGAAAGGAAAGCATTGAGTCTTTCCCCATTAAAAACAATGTTGGCTGCAGGTTTCTTGTAGCTATCCTCGTCCGTGTGAGGAAGTGTCCTTCTATTACTAGTTTGCTGAGAGTTTCTATCAGAAGTGCTTGTTGGACTTTGTGAAATGTTTTCTGCATTTATTGAAAATCTTTTTTTTTATTCTGTTAATATTATGGTTTATACTGGTTGATTTTCAAGTGTCAAGTCGACCTTGTGTCGTTGGGATAAATCACAAGAAATCTTTGCCTACCTCAGATTCACACGGAATCATTTTATATGTTGTTAAACTATTCTGTACAGATGGAACTTCTGAGGTTATTTTTTTCCTTGATTGAATGTTGATAGTTTGTATTTCTTAAGGAATTGTCCGTTTATCTAAATTGTTAAATTTATCATCATGAAGTTGTTCATAATATTCTGTTATTAATCTTTCCATGTACAGTGATGGCACCTTTCTTATTCCTGATATTGGTCACCTGTGTCTTCGCGCTTTTCTTTTACTCATCAGTCAGGAGAGAAATTTGTCAATTTTATGGGTCTTCTCAAAGAACCGGTTTTTTGTTGCATTGGATCCTCGATTGTTTTCCCTCTTTTATTGACTTCCACTATGATCTGTATGCTTCCTTTTGCTTACATTGGGTTTAAGTTTCTCTTCTTTTTCTGGTTTCTTAAGGTGGAAGCTAGGTCACTAATTTGAGGACTTCTTCTTTAATGCAGGCTATAAATTTCCCTCAACGTCCTGTTTTCTATGCACCCCCAAAATTTTGATACGTTGTATTTTCTTTCTTTTTTTTATTGATGTCAGAGAGGGAGAGGGAGAGACAGATAGAAACATCAATGATAAGAAAGAATCATTGATTAGCTGCCTCCTGCACACTCCCCCCTAAGGATCGAGCCCGCCACCTAGGCATGTGCCCTTGGCTGGAATCAAACCCAGGACCCTTCAGTCCGCAGGCCGACACTCTAGTCACTGAGCCAAACCAGCTAGGGCGATATGTTGTATTTTCATATTCATTGGGTTAAAAATATTTTCTAATTTGCCTTTTGATTTCTTTTCTTTTTGTGACCCATGGATTTAGAAGCGTGTTATTGTGTTTTCAGACATGTGGGTATTTTCCAGAGACCTTTCTGGTTTTTACTTATTAATTTAACTTTATTGTTGTTGGAGAACATACTGTATGTTTTGAACCCTTTTACATTTGTTGAGACTGATTTTATGGCCCAGAATAGGGCCTTTGTTAATCATTGTTATGTGTGCACTTAAACGTGAGTTCTGTTGTTGCTCAGTAGAATGTTGATGAGGTCATGTCTGCTGATGGTATGATATTCAACTGTTCTATATTTGACTGACTTTCTGCTCACTTGCTCTATTAATTATTGAGAATGGGTGTTGCATTCTCTGACTCTGATTGTAGATTAATCCTTTTCTCCTTGCAGTTCTGGTGGGTTTTTTTCTGTTTTTTTTTTTTTTGGTTTTTGTTTTTTTTGCTTTATGCACTTTGAAAGCCTATATTCAGATTATGTCCTCTTGATTAAATGGTCACCTAATCATTGTAAAATGGCCCTTCTTACCCC